ATGGTCATGAAAGAACTATTAAAGATGTACGGCTGTTGTGTAGCTCCATACATTTGAATCACACCTTTTCTTTCTCTAGCCATTGTTAGGATTGTTACTATTTAAGAAGGAAAATGGCAGGCTATTTCCACACCACTTCTAACTCATGCTCTGCACTTGGAAGCTGAGGCATAATGAGACTTGCTGAGGACCCTCCAAAGTGCATTCTGCCCATCTTTTATCTAGTTATCCTATCTCTGGGCCTTCTTTTGCTTTTCATCCTTTCTTTTTCCAGACACATCCCATCAGAGAACCTATTATGCAGAAGCTGTTGGCCAAATCCAGCTTCAGAATGCATATAGGCCATGAGAGCAAAGCCTGGAAACCTCTGCAGTTGGTGTTCAGCCACTGAGCAGGTACTAGAAGCTGTGGAATACATGGGGATAGTGGCTATTGGCTCAAAGGCAAGAGTTTTTTGATTGTATTGGCTACAATATGAAAGGTCCAAAAGCTTATAGCACTTGTGCATATAAACACATGTGGAACAGGATCCCATCTCAAGGTGAGGTCAAAAATTGGACCTTTAGACGCTAGATAGGAATTACACAGCTTTAAAAGAGGACAGTTGAAGCTTCATTAGTCAGAATGTAATCAATAGCAGGAAATACCTCTTACACATTGTGCCCATTGAAAGGTGTGGTCTAGAGAAATTGTCTGCTTTTCAGTAGATAAGCTGTCTTGGTTTTATTGTATCAGCAATCTATTAAGGAGTTATGTAGTCCAACATAACAGATGAGATCTGTCTTAACACTGATGGTTCCTCAGAAATCAAAATTTCTAGAGTTCTTGTGAATCCAGTACAGGAACTGACCCTTGAACATTTAGCTGAAGTTTTTAAAAACTGGCACTTAGTGCCACATAAAAGAGCCTGTTCCTGCAAAATGTGAGCCAGTGATTCTGATAATGGCGTGAAGCAGTAGAAGAGGGATGGGAGTAACAGCTCCCACTGCTGGTACTGGACTTGTTCCGTTACGGCACTAAACACAGCGGCATTACAGGTTTGTATTAAAGGGCTTTCTGGATAGGAGAGAGAAATTGTTTTCTTAACCCAGGAAAGAAATTTTTGTGTAAAATAAAAAACTTACAGGGGATATGAGATATAATGTCACCATTTTTTAAGGCCACCTGTTACAGGATATGAGCAAGGGGAATTTGTTCATTGCAACTTTTCACAGTAAATTGAAGCGAATACTTTGCAGTTCAGTCCATTCACTATCTAAGGAACGCACAGAAGCAGCACTGGTCCCACTCTCTTATAGTTGGGCTGCTTCCCTTCTGCTGGCTCACATATGCCTGTGTAGGTAAGGGAGTGAAATCAGCAGCAAACCAACCCTACAAAAGTACTCATTATTTCTCTTCCCATTTATTTCTCTGAAGTAGTTTATCAGAAGTCCAGAAAAGAGATGGTTCAGGAACACAGCCCGCAGAACTGCCTGTGGGAACACACAGCTCCTCATTGCGATGTGGCAATTCAAGCAGGCCACTCAGCTGTAACTCGCTGTAAGGGAAATGTATCCACTAGTGCAAAAAGAAAGACACCCAAAATACTGCAGGAGCTGCAGTCTGGTTTCCCACACTAGATCCAGTGTGGGTGTGGCACGTGAAAGTAAGTCCCCAAATAAGTGGACAAACACTGCTTAAATTTATGTGGTAACTTCAAATGTTAGCTTCAGGTTTGTGCAATGCACTAGACACAACAAAGTCTTTCAAAGAGACTACTACAAAGCATCTACTAGCGGTTTTGCCATACCTTAGTGATATTCTGATATATGCTATTATCTCAGAACCGAGGCATTGATGCTAAATGAACTGAAAATCAAATAACTGTGGGTTGTCTCAAAATAGGGTGACTGGGCAGCGCACACAATGAGCAAAAAGGGAATTTCCTTCAACAAAAGAGTGGAGGCTGTATGGAATTAGCCAAGTCTATAGGCAATCACACGGGGATTTTTGCATTTGACTGTAATTACAGCACATTTACTTGTATGTTGGTCAATATTGCAAAACCATTGCATAGTTTGAATGAGAAAAAGAAAACATCTCAGTGGTCAGCAGAATGAAACAAATACTTTCAGAGTTGGGAAAGATTCTCGTACCTTCTTTCAGAATTGACTTACCAATGTTTAAAATGCCTTGTGAAAAAGAAAAAAAATTAAACTCACTTTATTTTTGCAGCTGTAATGTCACAAGGACAGTAGGGTCTAGTATCTTAGTAATGCAGAACTCTAACTTGTCTAGAAAAGTCACCACCTGCGTGGAACTTCTTCCAGAGCATTACGTGTACAGGGTGGTCCGGTCACTATCTGAGAGAGCAGAAAGAGCTGGTCTCAGGTGGAGCAGGAATTTCATGATCAGAAGAGACAATATTTACCTGAAGTAGTGTATTAGAAACTCTTAAAGATCATCTTGGGAGTCAATCAAAAAAAGCTCCCACCAATTTTCTCACTACACAAATGCAAACAGGCAGAACTGAGCCAAAGCATGGAAATGCTGTTAGGAATTACTTGCAAACATTGTCATTTTTTTTTTATTGGTAACCATTGAGGCTAGGTTGCCTAGGCTCCCTCTAAAACAAGTATTCAAGCAGACTGAAATATGCTTGGGAAGTACCCATCTCTCTGGTGTGGTCATCTTGGGAGCCTAGACTTGGGAGCCTTTGAAGGAACACTTTACTTTCAAACAGTTACTTGAAGTGTCATGTCTGCTACATTCACCATTCGAGGTTTCCTGTAAAACAGCACCAAAGTGATCAGGACCACGGCTGGTCACATCCTCTTGATATTTACATTGCTGCAGTCAACATGAGATTATACACTGGAAGACTCAGTGTCTGCGTAGCTGAAGCAAGATCTGATCATTGAAAGCATCCAGCTTTGGTACAGCTATTGTTGCTTCAGGATTTGATATGAACTTGTTATCGGAGGTGGTGTTTTGTTCTTTTCTATACTGAGGTTTCCAGCTCCTGCCACACCTGTACAAATGGAAGGGGGTGGGGGTGAAATCAGGATCACTGAAAAGGAACTGGAATGCAGTATGCCACTGTTTGTGAGGAAGGAATGTACTAGCAGGATCATACAATCTTGTAAATTAGCAAAGGATCAAAATGTCATACCAAGTTGCAGGCAGAACACAAGGGTTGTTGAGAGGTTGGTTGCTACGGAAACATCTGAGTATCATCAGGAAGGTGTTGGGGCTTCTCCCATCCAAAAGGTGACCCGGCTGAGGTGCTGGTCTCTTCTCACAGGGAATTAGGGACAGAATCAGGGGGAATGGTTTCAACTTGCAACAGGGCAAGTTTAGACTGGACATTAGGAAGAAATTCTT